AAATTTAAGGAAAAAGTGATTGATGCTTTTGGGTCATTCAATGTATACCATCGATTTTATTAATGTTTTTTTATTGATGATTTAAATAATTTAATGATAATTTTTATAATAATTATGAAAAAATTTTAATTTAAATCATACAATATATGATAATCAATACGATGGATTAAGAAAAAAAATTATCTTTCATTATAAAAAATAAAAAAATAAAAAAAGGTAGGGGAACCGTATGAAAACTAATCTTGCAAGGTAACAACTGGTGATGGTAGAGAAGAAATGGGTATGAGCTCATCTGAAAACGATATCGAATTAACCCAGTGGGACTGTGAGAATTGTAGTTGACAAGTGATGAGGCATTTTAATTAGCACAAAAGCCACCGGCCTCCAGAAAAGCCCAAACAAAAACCAAACGTTGACCAAAAGATTATGCTTTCATCATTATGTTCTTTTTCTGCTTTGTATACTCAGGAATCACTTTACTTATGAGTCAAGATTAACTCATATTAATATAGAATATTAATATAGAATTTAAAAGATTCTTAAATGAATTTTTAATAATATATTTTAAAATTTAAGAAACTATTTTAAAAGTTTTAATGTTGTATCAGTTGATAAAATTTGGGAAATGGGTGATTAGGAATTGATTTAACATTTATACTACTATAAATTTAATCCTAACTCAAGCTCATTCAATAATGTAAGTCAAACTTTTACAATGGTTAAAATACCTAAGTCTCTCAATTTTTAGATTTGTATCAAAATCATCCTTAAACTTCAAAAAGTATCAATGTTGTTCTTCAACATTAATTTTTTATACCAATTTCGCCCTTCTGTCAGTTTAATGCTAAGATAGCTAACTTTTCCATTAAAACATTGTATTTTTAAGTATGCGGTAATGGTTTTGGTGGTCGTTTGTGGTTAGGTGATGGTAGCCGAAGTTGGTGATAGAGAAAATAAAGGGTTGTGCAGTGGTTTGGGAGGAGAGTGGCTATTGATCTGAGAAATCTGGTGTTTGGAGGAGGGAGAGAGAAAGATGGGTTAGAGGATGAAAATGGGGACATTTAGGTAATCTTATGTTTTATATTAAATTATTAAAATGCCACTTCATCATAAGAGGTATTTTTTTTGTTACATGTAATTATTATTATTATTTTTGTAGAAGTAAATGATTTGTCAATGATCTAAATAATTTAATGATAATCTCCTTTCACTGTAAATAAGAGGTTTTAAGTCCGAGTTGTACAGCATACAAGTGGAATAGGGTAAGAAATGAGAGATAATTGTCTTCCATTATGCAACTAAGATAAAAAAAAAAATAGAGTAAATGATTTGGCAACTCAATGTGTCACATGTGACTTATGTTGATAGAAGAATGATTATGGTATCAAAAATCAAAGTTCAAGGACAATTTTTTTTTTTTTCGAAATTCAAGGATAATTTTAGTACAAATATGAATCTTAAGAGACTAAATTGGTATTTTAACCATCAATTAATAGCTTGATGGTTTTATGTAAAATTTATATGAATATTTATACTTATATTCTTGTAGTATAAAATTTCAATTTTATATATAAATTGGTCATTTTACAATTCAAATTGAAAAAATAAAGACTTTTAGATTAGGAAAGACCTTAATATATAAGGATTTATTTATCATTTAATGATTAATATTTTACAGTTTAAAACAATATAAATGGTAAAATAATTTTTGGTTTATATATTGTCTTAGTTAAAATAATACAATGTATGTATCAAAGCCTTATCAGCCAATTGTAATCTTTCACTTTCTTACTTTATAGGCTTAACTAAACTATTATGGAATTCACCCTAGAAATTATTGAGAAAGTTGTCTTGCATTGATCCTTCAACGTGTTTTGTGACAATGGATTTTAATGTTCTTTTTCTTCTTCCTTTTTCCATTACTTTTTTTAAATTGAAATTAATTAATAGGATTATTACCCAGCAAGGTTGAGGAATCATACTCCTCATTATGTCTGGATAAAGTAACTTCTATTCTATACATTTAAAGTTATATATTGTTTATTAAGTTAGTCCGAAGGAATCACGGCTAAAAAAAAAGGTTGCCCAGAGAATATCCTCGTGATTGGAACATTTAATTGGAGGAACTTAAACTTCTGTACTATATTTACCAGAAAAGGTCGGGAAAATTTTCTACCATATATTGGATCACAATGAAATCAAATCACAAGAAAAACGTTGGATCGTGTTTGTTTGTTTGTTTGTTTTTTTTTTTTTTTTTTTCATATTTTTACAATTCAGGTGTCTTTGGATTAA